ATCCCAAATATGGGATTTGATTGGGAATTAATGAGCCACATAAAATACCAATTTGATTTGATATTGGGACATTAATATCCCAAATATGGGATTTGATTGGGAATTAATGAGCCACATAAAATACCAATTTGATTTGAAATTGGGACAGTAATATCCCAAATATGGGATTTGATTGGGAACTAATGAGCCACAAAAAATACCTATTTGATTTGATATTGGGACATTAATATCCCAACTTTCGGAATTTTCTTGGGAATATTTTGACTACAGATTGGTTTTGGTAGCACTTTTCCAATATTGGGAATTCACAATGAAAACCCAAAAATATCCCTATTAGATCCCATGTATTTCCCAGTATTGGGAGTTGCAATTTTTTTCCTGTGCGAGTTTGAGAGGGAATCAATTGAGAATTTATTTTTACCTACAATTACACTTGATATGAATTTTTGAATATCAACTGACAGTAAAATGGACTCACAATATATTATTTCTAATACCTAATTTTTTTAGCTCTCTTCGGTTCACTCTTGTAAAGGTCAATCATTATGTTAATTTTTTTTTCTTTCACCTAGTAGACTTTGAGGCTCCAGATTTTTCAGTTGTCCTATTTATCGATGAGATGAAGTATAGTGTTGCAGAGGTGAAAAATCTGGAGAAGCTCACAAAAGAGCAAAAAATTGAGCCGATGGAGGTGGTTGCCATCAGAGATGGTACCAAAAAATACAATGCTCAGATAGTATTTATTGGTAAATATATAAATCATTACGCTATGAATTTTTCCATTTTTGTTTAATATTGTTACCAAATTAGTACTTTAATTGTTAGGTACAAAAAAGGAATGCTGTAAACGCCTAGATGTATTGGCAAAACCTAAGGAGGAGGAGGTAGTGAGTGATAGTGATGGTATGTAATTTTTAAGTAATATACTTTCTAAGCAATACTAAGTCACATGATCATACAGAGTATTCTAACTGTTACATTGGGTAATAATAATTTGTGTAAAAGCTTGATCTATTAAAAAAATGGATTGTTTCTTTGTAAAATGGTATAACGATTCTTAATTTGTAGACTAAAAAAAACTACAAAGACAAGGGACAAAGGGCATTGCGCTGGATTACCCATCACGCACTTCATATTATGATATTTACATATCTCAACCATTCTCATAATTTTTGCAAAAGGCTGTAAATACCCACTATATGTGTATTGATTAATATTGTTACAGGTGATTCGGCACACAAGGATGAATTAACATACATCGAATGCCAAGATAATCGATCACTAATAACAGAGCATAAAAGCACAAGCGAAACATATCTTTTAAATTTAAAAATGTTACTAGGCCTTTTGAAAAATTCTCATTAAAATTTGTCAAATTCTGTCAAGTTCTTTTTTATCCACATTCGAATTAGAACTAGATTGACACGGCCAAAACTCGACGACACTGCAAACAACATGAAACACCGGCCGTACATCTAATCATATATTCTTCGATTTGTGCAAGAGTCAGTTACAATGTAAGTATCATAAGTCTCATGCATGTAACGGCATGGTCGATGGAAGTGACAGCAATGCACAAAATTACATTGTAATACTAAGTATTTTATTGTAAGTAAAGCTCTCTCTTCGAGTGTTAATGAATGTAGTTTATTTCTTGTTAATTTTGATCGAGTTTAAGTACAGTAATCTAGATATTTCAAGCTTGTACTGACTACCATTTTTTTAGTAAATTAAAGTAATTATTTTACTATAACGTTGCCGGGGCAATCATCCAAACGATACCTCGACCAACTTTAATATTTGTTCGCATGACCCATCGCGTCATGACCGACCTATTGTTTCGAGTCGAGAATACGTATCACCCACGGTCTTTACCAGGTAAACGTCATGGCCGGCATATTGGTACAATCTGTCAACAGTTTTGGACGTGACATGACGTGACACTAATTACTGGATTAGTGTACTCTGGAACGAGATCGTAGTCACGATGAGAGGTCAAAGCGAGTTGAGCTTCACAAATATTAGTCATAATTTCAAAGGAATCTCTTCTTTAGAGGAAAATATCAAAGCAAAAGGACTTCTGTATGGCTCTTAGCTGTGTTTACAACAAGAACTAAGGCCCGGGAGCTTATTTTTGACTTTAATATGGACAGAAGCCAGGAAATAAGTTGTAAACACTTTTGGCGCCAAAATGTCGAAGGTCTACRAACGAAGATTTAACATCTTGAATACAACGACTTACTGAACATGAGTATGAATTTTTAATGCTTGTAGTTTTCTCGAGTATTAAATGAGGTTCGCAGACGTTCATCTTTCTCGACATATCGCAAGGAGCATGTTTATTATGTTTACCATGTAATGTTCCGAGTATTTACATCGACTGTATTAAGAAGAGGATTAAGGAATGCGGATTTTATGTCGTTTAATTGTTTTACAGCTGATTAAAAAATTGAGTGGTTAAATGGAATAATTTATTGATATTTTTTTGTTAATCTGGATTTGCACTATGTTTCAATAAATGATATAACTTCGTCATTTTCAGAATTAACAAAAAGAAGTGAGAGCAAGCTCGTCAGATGTGAGGACCATGCTGACTTGGTGAAAAGTAGGGGGGAAAACAAACAGTCTTTGATATGGCCATGGAAAATAGCCTGTGGTCTTTGTAAAAAAAATCTGCAGTTAAGGTTCGATGCTGATGTAAAAGGCTGTGTCTCTTATTTTGAAAGACGTAAGTTTACACAGAAATTAAACAACTTAGCAATCCAAATATCTCTCATACGTATGGACATTAAAAAGGGAGGAAAAGAACCAGAAAGTAAAGGAAGTCCTTGGCTATAGTTGGCTAAGAAATGCATTAAATTGCATGGGCTGAACAGAAACACAAACATAGACATACTCTTTTTATTCTAAATCTCATTTAGCTTTTGCCACGCTAGCTGTATGCTAATGAATTGCTTTTGGAGTCATTCTTTCTCTCTTTTTTGACACAGACCATTATAACAGATGCTCCAAAGACACTGAGACTGCGAAGAAAAGCAATCACCAAACAAAGATGACAGATACGTTTCATCGAAAATCATACCAAAATTCCGAAACAGAACGGAGTCAGGGGAAAGGCAGTTAAAAAGCGCAAAATGGTTGAATACGTGGACTCGGACCTAGACCTCTCTGACTGCGATGAGGAAAAGTAAGGATTATTTGAAAATAAACAAGACATATTAATTGAAATCTTACACTCTTAAAGAAACACAGAGACAAGCAGTTTCACTCAATAGTTACTCATGTGATGTGAATATTGTCAAAATAAAGTCAAGTTTGTTTTAAATCGGGTAATCGCCGTTCGACAATCTGTGTAATAACAATTTAAATGTGAATTTTTTTTAGTCACGCTAGTTCATTTAGTTCATATTATATTACATGTCAATCATTTGTACCTAGACTATATAATCATTTGTAACGACTTTTATTCTCATTCTTCTGAGGATGGCATAATGTAATGCTGAAACATGTTAAGATTAAAAAAGTATATCGTATTTTTTAAAGTTTTATTATCTCTAGTGCTACTACGAAACTATGGAAATGTGAATTATATTGCACCTTATGAATTGAAGATATAATCATTAAATCAATGTTTGTATAGAATGTGTTACTCAAGCGGGGAAGTGGATGGGACGCATCTAGTGAGGGAGACGTTAGTACTGCAGATGAGTACAGTGACGATGACACAGTAGGTATCTGTTCGTGTGCTGGCCTGAGTGATCAGCTTCCATTAGTTCTAGCAGATGACGGCGATAACGCTGAGATCGACAAAGATGATCTATTTAGTTCATTGTTCATGTAGGCATAGAAGAAGCTGACTCTCTATGCATCAAAATTCAAGACCTCTTACGACGAGGAAAGATAACAAAAGACAGAATCTTTTACAAATTTATTAATGACGTGCTAGAAATAATGTACAATCCTTTCCATGAATATGACAAGGAAGTAATTGAATTTTTTAACACAATCACCTACTTAGGCGGTAAAAGAACCGCATGCTTCATCTGAGGTCCAATGAACTTTGGTGACGGTTCCCGCAGGGGGTCTTTCGGAGTCGGTATGTGCGAAGCATCAGCCAGGGTATACACCAAAATCCGGAGTTATAAAACCTTTATCGCTAGGCCATCTGACGTTGCTCAAGAATTCTAAAGCAAAGACACTAATAGAATCAGAAAAGCTAAAAGTAATCCCATGCGCACTTGCTAATGATGGCACTGCCTTAAAACCGGCAATTGAATTCGACCCAAGACTAAAGGAAAATGTTGGTTTGATGACTACCGTCGACATAGCGTACGTCCGGGAAAATCCCACACCTTCTCCAGAACATCTGAAGGAAAACATTGTTACCGAAGCAATTGTCACATCATTGACATCACTAGATAATTACTGTTCACTTCCAGTGGCAGTAGACTATACTTCACAAACAGGAAAAACAGGTGAAGCAATGACTACATTTTTTATAGGTCATATAAAGACGCTGCAGTGCTRTGAAGGTTGCCAAAAGGAAGCACCAAGTACACGACATATTATTACTAGTGGTGAAATGAACTGTGATAGTTTTTGTCAAGAGTGTTGGAACGCAAAGACAATGTGTAATCATTGTAATTCTAAAAAACAAGTAAGCTATTACTCCCTCCCTCCTCCTATTACTCCTCCCTTTCGTGTAATGAAAAAAACATTCAGTGCTTGCATAGAGTGATTATGGTGCTATGTACAGATTTTGAAAGCGGCAATAAGAGCGCGTTTGAAACAATCAAAGAGATGTTAACAGACCGCGAAAACGAAGACCCAGCGATAGCTATGTTGTCAGTAATACCTGACTGCCCACACGTAGGAAAAAGCATGAAAGGGGCCTTCGCAAATTGGTGGCTTAATTGTGGGGGAGAGCGTATAAACCTAGGACTGCTCAAAACTTTACGAAATCGCTCAAACAAGGAAACGAGAGATGTTTTTCGTAAATTAATTCCTAAAAATGACCATGTTAAAAATAAAGATAGGCAAGATCCATCTTCTGTCATTACTCTGAGCAACCAAAAACTAAGCGAAGCACTGAAAAGCATAGGATTTGTTTGCCATACCATTATACCAGAACTTGACAAGTATCCAGCTGAAACCCAAGTCGGTACGGTTCCCTCGCCGTTTAGCATCTCAATTCTGTCATTCGGCTGGGTTGTCTTCCTGTCTTATGATGTCAAGACTTTGACGTCGACACTCTATAAAGCACGACTCCATAGTCCAGTCGACAAGATAACGATTATCAAGAAAGATTTAAAGGCAAGAGAAGTACATTGTATTGGGGGCTTAGTCCTGTTAACCATGGACAGTGGTCATATAAAAATTCTTGAATTCCATGAAGGAGCACTGAAAATCCTAATGAAGCTGAAGAAGAAGGAAGAATACGTAGAAATTGCTAACAGACTTGGTTTATCAGCAACAGGAACAATTGTGATGATCAAAGAACGTCTAAGAAAGTATGAGGCATCTGTGAGGACCGCCTACGACAACCAGAGGATGAATTACGACGAAATCAATTTCTGGGAATGTCCTGCTAATGACCACCTTTTTGATGCCATAGCATGTGTAGATTACGAGCTTATCTACGCTGCCCAACGCAGTACAAAACAACTCGTCAGTTTTCAATTGAACAGAATCCGACATCTGTTGCCTACATCTGTGACGGACAAAACAACGCCATCAAGATATGTACGAAAATGGCTGAATGTGCTAGTTTCTTAACATCAATAGGTCGGTTGTTTGATGCTTTCTCTATTCACAACAAAGGAGCGAGTTACGCAGTTAAACCCATTGAAGAGGCCCTCTGTCTTGTCAGACAATGCAAAGATGTCATTGATCGAAACATTGAAAATATCAGAACGAATACAGGAATCACTACTGTGATCAATGGTCCACAAGGCTACGTCTCAGCAAGGACTGTTGTATCAGTTGAACTAATGAAATGGGGCCTACAAACGCTACACAGTAACCTGCAGAACTTTGACTTCAAAGCCACAAACTTACTCAGTTGCATGACTCTTGACGTAGAGAACTGTCACTCTATCGTTCATTCCAAACAAGCAAACTTGTCTATGTTGGAATACTCGAGATCGTTCGGACGCACAATGAAAGAGTCAGTAAAGAGAATAACACAATGGGCAGCGTATTACCACACAGGTCGAAATTCATGGTACCCAAAACCGGAAGAGTCTACTCCATTCTCTGAGGTACCCACAATAAAGCCTTTGCCAGTGGTATCTATGGTAAAGGCAGATTTTGAACTTCTACGTGATTGGGCTTCAGCCCATGGTGCTGCTGTACGACAAAGAACAGTGCGTCAAGAGACCACCATGACGAAACACGGTACATTACCGGAATACATGTACCAGAGGAGTTGTGTCCGTTCAGACCAGCCCATTGATATAGTCTTTGGTGCAGACACGCCCGCAAGAACTGTTGATGAAGTGGACATAAGCAATAAGCTGCTGGAACAAGACACAGACATAGAATAACAGAGGTCGAAATGCCATCTGCAGCGACCTTTTTAGTTGGTGCCACATCAAGGTTCGGGAGAGCAGTACGATTCAACAACAGACTTTTAAACTGATTTTTTAAGGTATGGTGTTTTAAAAAAATAGGCGTAGGTGGTTCTCAATCTCGGCTATTGTGATTGTGGACATCGTTTAGGACCAACTACGCTTGTTTCCGGTAAAATTATTGTTATATATATATACAAATCATTATACGGTTTTTATATTCAATTCTTAACTTAGTGTGATGTATTGGATTGCGTTTTGTTATATTCATAAATGACCAGTTGTTATAACTGTATTAGTCTTTAATGAAATGCTTTAATTTCAACGCCATATTCGTTTTTGCGGTATGCGGTATTTTCGATTTTTTCATGTGGTATTGCGGGATTTTTGAATCTTTTTGCGGTATTGCGGTATTCAGAGCCCCCCAATGTCCCCCTCCTTAGATCGTGAAGCATGTGCAGGATTGTTGTCACTAGAATTATCTAAAAAAGTTTATATATGTTTTGTGTACTTTAGGTTAAGTTGGAAAGTGGGGATGCCAGAGACATGGTTGCAGCAAATTCACCATCAATAGTAAGTGCATACAGTTCAATATTAACTACTAGTGATAATTTGGCATAAAGCATTACAGCACAGTGACTACCTGCACTGCTGCTTTCCTTTTGTGGTTAAAACAGTTAGTACGTAAACTGGCTTCCAATCTAGAAACTTTTTTTACTTCAAAGAAATTACATATAGCAACTAATGTTTTTCTTTCTATTTCTGTTTTATAGATGCAGAATAGTGCAGCAAATTCACCATCAATAGTAAGTGCATAATTATCCTACAGTTCAATAGCCCACTTGTGAGTTTTGACTCAGTGGTCACACACAAAGGAATCAAGATGAGGCGCCGTGCATAAGGCTCAGTCATTCGTTAAAAGACAATAGTTTTTCACGATTGACTGAGCTTACGCACGGCGCCTCGTCTTGATTCTTTTGCGTTTGACAACTGGAGCGAAATTCGCAAATCGGCTATTACTACTAGTGATAATAAAGCATTAAAGCAGTGACAACCTCCACTGCTGCTATCCTTTTGAGATTAAAACAGTTATGTAAACTGGCTTCCAATCTTATAAGCTTCTTATAAGCATCTTACAAGATCTTATAAGCATCTTATAAGAATCTTAGAAAATATTATATAAGATCTTAATAATAAAGAATCTTATAAGAATCTTGTAAGAATCTTATTAAGATTTTCACCTGGGAACCATTTATATACCATGTATGGGAAGTGTTCTGCTTTTCCATGAATGTTTTTTGAATGGGTAATTAATGAAAAACCACATTCATACCCATAATGGTTTTTGGATTTTTTTTTTCCTGTGAACAAACGCACTATAGATAAAAATCGATAAATTCGAGACAAAAATCGATCTCACGCTACAAAATAAAATCGATTTTTAATGATTTCAGATAGAAATCAATGAAAATCAGCTGATTTTTGTGACGAAAGGCCTTATGGGGCCTCTCGTCATAATGTCATCGTGCAGGTAAGAGTGTAAACAATCCACTTCTACCAGGCGTTCCTGGTGGTATCTTAAACACGTGATTGTAGTCAAGGAGATCTTTTACGATCGATGTAATTTCGGGTTTATCGATTTAGATCGATTTATACTCATGGAGACTATACGAAATTATCTACGAAATCCTGACAACTGAAATAATAACTGAAATATACGATCAAGAAACGATTTGTCCTGACCATGTGCGTTCTCACTTCTCTTCGATCGTTGATGTGTTTGTGCTTTCGAAGCTGAGTTGTTCTTTCTATTACAGTATAATATATTTATACTCTTTTGTGTCTAGAACTAGGCACAACTTTCTTTGCATTTGCAGTCAAGTGTGTATATCTAAAGAATATTTTAGATTTTGTAGTGGTTTACGTGGATTGTTTGACAAGCTTCTCTTTGGCTTGTTACAGATCAGTCCCGACCGCATGATTACTGTCATAACTAGATTACACATCAAAATGATTTGACCTATGTTAGCTTATGTTGTTGCAGTCTATTTTGACTCATGATGTTAATATTATATGAAAATCAGACTGTTCATAGACAAGAACTTTTAAAATGACAATGTCATATAGTTTTGTGAATAACATTCACTTTTATTGTTCTTATAGCACATTCAACAAAATAATACATTCTGATTGGTCGAGAGGAGTACAATTACAGCGTTAATTGTACTCCTTAATTAAGTTGAATGTACTATAAACAAAAATCGGGCTTGTGCAATTACGAGAACTTTCAAAACATTACTCGTGACTATTAATTCCAAATTGTACTCAAGGTCGTGTGATTTCCTATACAAATTTGCAGTTTATATATAAACAAGTAATAATCTTCTTTGTTTAACTTTCTTTGTTTAACATGTGCTCCTTTATCTTTTGCATGTTAGAGTACAAGCAATAAATGTGTACAATACTACAAAATAGTGCTAACTAAACAATGGAAAACAATAGAAATAGCATACTTTAGCAGTATTTAGTGATATTTTGTACACTTCTGTTTGCACTCTGCATTATACAGGCATTCTGATATAGTGGGATGATGCGATTTCGCATAATCACCTAAAAATCACATTTTTCCGCATAATAGATAAAAATCGCATAATTAGTCAAAAATTGCATAGTTTTCGAAGCAAAAACGTGTTTCCTATCAAAAATAAATTAAGTTCTGTCTATTTAATTTTAGAATTTATCGATATAAACCTTTTTTAGTGCAAAATATTTGAAAAATTATCCAATATTCGATCAAAAAGGATCATTATCTAAAAGGCGTTACTTGCTCGACAGAGTCTGGGAACTGGTGCTAGTTTTATGGCGGAGCTGTCGGTGGAGCTCGTTTTCTTTTCTTCCAAAGATTTCTTAACTTTGTAATTAATTTAATGGATTCTGCGTATAATCTTTTCGCAATATTTCTTCTGAATATTTTAATAAAAGTTAAAAAAGGTAGAAAGAACAAAAGATGTGTCCTGAAGCTTAAGCTGCTCAAGCCGAGAATCAAATCCGCGATCTTCAGTTCTTATTCGACGCCCGCCGCTATTCGAGTATGTGATAAGAGAACATTTTGTATAATGATAATATTGACATGAAAATGTGTAAATTGCTCTTATACTAAAACGCGTCTTTTTACCGTGTCCAGGCCGAAAAAAATTGGAGCGACTTTTTTTTCGCGATCCTTAGGGACCGAAATTACAACTTGGGGAAGCAATAAAAAGTCATTAGTCTGTTGTTTTAAATTAGATAAACACTCAAAGCCATAAAATCATAAATGAAATGTTTTTATGTGACAAAAAATTACAATAAACATGAGAAAAAGATTTCGCAATATTGCGCAATTTACCGCATAATCGGGATTTTTTGCCGCATAATTGAACATTTTTGCCGCATAATTTGATGTTGAAATGCCGCATAATTTTCATTTTTTTGCCGCACTGTATCAGAATGCCTGTTTATAAAATCAGTATAGTTGTTTCCAAAGACTCATGAAATTCACTGTAGCCGTCGTTTTCTTCCTTGTAATTTACGTGTACTTCGATTTATTTTTGATTGCACTTTGTTTCACAGGGTTTTACATCTAATTGAAAATGGCAACAATTCATTAGAGTCGATCATTATATCTGTGAAATATTTTGTAAGAAACTGCACAAAATTGCACTAATTCAGGATTTCACACCAAATTGTCAAATTCAGTTTTCAAACAATTCTACGAATGTAATCTATCATATATAAATAAACAATGTATTTATTCAGCCTGAGTGACATGCAGTCTTCGACTGCCTATTTTTTAGCGGAGCTCCATAACTAAGGAAAAATGGTAAACCCATGGGCTTGAGTTTTGATCAACCGACACAGGAAGCCCAGTTGTCCTTCCGTACGTCCGTCTGTATGTCCGTCCGTGTACCACGCGATTCTGATTGGCTACTTTTGAGAAGGCGGTAAAAGGAAGCGCGCTCGCGTCAGTTTTTGAAAGCAGCTTTTTCACCACAACGACTYCATTTTTGTCCTTTCAAATACTTTACTTCTGCGCCAAATGTCGGAAAATCAACGGGTAGCTAACGGAAAGCGATCTTTATCTGAAGAAGAAAAGACAAGAAGAAGAGAAAGAGAGCGTCGAAGAAGTCTAAGTGAAGAACAACGCAGGCTTGAAAGGGAAAACGTTAGAGACGAAACAATAGTTTATTAAGACTCAAGCAAATCGAGAAACAAGTGAACGCCAAAGACAACGATTATTGATGGAGAATTTTCAGAGGAGAACTGACATATTCTCCGACGATACCGTGGCGTTATTAAACAAATGGCGGTATGTTAGATTATAATGTGCAAGCGGTTTTTGGTGCTCAAATTAAGTAAACTTAAGTCAATTCTTCTACTTCAAGAACCTTTGGCAGTTTTAATCTGGTTTAAATTTGCTTTTGAATTTGAAAATCTTCACCTGATACACTTCAAAACTTCTCAGTTAAATGAGCTTGTTGACAATGAAATTATGTGTGAATTGTGTACACGTTTCGTACACGTACATTCTATCCACAATAATAAGTTAATCTTCTTTGACATATTAAAACTACTCGAATGTTTTAATTTATAAAACTATGCATTTGGAAAAGAGAGCCTTGATATTATTTGAATGTTCAGATTTTAMTCTTTATTCTTCMATAAACTCTTTAATACAAACTGTCAACAAATACAGAGAGCAAAGATAAGCAAAGAATTTGAAGTGTTGAAAAATGGATAATCATTATGAACATTATGATTCCTTTGTTTACAAAACTGTCAAAATGTATTTATTACTTATCATTAATGATTACTGTATGTCAAAAATGTATTGATTTAGTGTCATTCCTGTGTGATTAAATTACTATTATGTATGTTATCTGTGTGATTGAAAAACCACCAAAACTGTTAAATTGCATAAATGACCCATAAATCACTTTTTTGGATCACTATATGATTGAAAAAYATCAACTGCCAAAATGCATTTATTATTATTTATCATTCCTGTGTGATTAAATAAAGGATATTACATGGGTGCATGGAAATATTGTCTAACTCGTGGGATATATAAATTGAATACCAGTTGTTTCGAGACATTGCCAGTTCGAGACACGTATTTTCGGTTGTTTCGAGACACATCGTATGGACGGTTCGAGACATGTCTATGGTCACTTCGAGACATATATAAAAATAATAYRTAAGTGTCATATAACATAAAGTAATGAAGGGCAAAAGGCTTTTTGGACAGTTTGAAGAGAAAATCATGACATTTGAAGACTTTTTGACGACCTTCATTAGCCGTCTTCGGCACGCCATTTTGTTTTGAAATCGACAACTTTACCACGTTATTTTCAATCGTTACGGAGCTATTGTATTCAAAACATTCAAAGTTATACTAGAAATCAGAACATAGTTTATATCAACTTGAGTTTTCGATCAAAAGATTAAGGAATTTTGTAACGCAAAGACATTTTACACTCGAATTTTACGAAGTCACGCCGTGTTTGTTGTCATGTCTCGAAACAACTTTACATAAAGATTGTCAGTCGTTATGGTGTTATTTCATTCAAAACATTCAAAATAATACTAGAAATCAGAACATAGTTTGTATCAACTTTAATTTTCGATCAAAAGATTAAGGAATTTTGTAAGGCAAAGACCTTTTACACTCGAATTTTACGAAGTCACGCCGTGTTTGTTGTCATGTCTCGAAACAACTTTACATAAAGATTGTCAGTCGT